GGTTATAGATGAACGGGTTTGCGTCTTGCGACGTGCGCGCGGCGCCGCGCCGGGCAGCGTGCTTTTCGCGTGGGGCACGGGAATCCTCGTGCTCGGCAGAAGGTCCAGGCTCACGTCTCGAACGAGGAACTCGTCCCAGTACTCCGCTGCGAGGTGCTGCAGGCCCAGCCGTCTCGTCAGATTTGACGTCTTGGCGATGTTGGTGGCCAGCCGAATCTGCTCCTCCCGGGAGATCGACGGCGAGGCATCCTCGCGACGGGGACCGGGCGCCACGCCGGACCCTGCTGACCGCAGCAGATCGCTCGAGTACTTGAGCACGCCGTTGAAGTCGGGAAGCGCCTCGGAAAAATTGATGCAGGCTCGGAGAATGTTCAGCTTGATGCCGGGAAACCCAAAGAACCGTGCCGCCGCCTGCCCCTGAATCCGGGCGAGCGCGGGGTCTTCCTGGGCCGTCTCCGCCAATGGTTTGCGCATCTCGTACCCCACGACGCCATACGACCTGCAGAGCATGCCGAGAAAGGCGTCGACGCCCTGTTCGACATCACCCTCGCCGAGCTCCAGCGCCATGGCGCCGTTGCTGTGGCCGTGTGCTGCGTTGAGAGCCACGAGGCCGGCCGCCGGATGGATGCCCACGTCCGCGGCGCCGCGCGTTCGGGCTTCGACGAGACCGCCGATGAGCACCGACACGAGCTCGCGAAGGACCATGGCCTTTTTTCGCTGGTGGCCCAGAGGTCCCAGGACCGAGGCGATGCCGGCGAGGATCGTGGCGCGATCAATCACCGTCAGGAGCTCGGACGCCGACGAGGGGAAGGCGCGGAAGAGCTGGTTCACGATCTGCTGGCGGGTCGGCGAGATGGTCAGACGCGGTGCCGTCGTCAGGGGCTTCTCCGGAAGCTTCCCGTAGACCATGCTCGCAAAGGCCCGGTCTCCAAGCTTGCCGTCGGCAAAGTGCAGAGCCGACAGGAGCTTGCAAAATCGAATCGTCACCTCGGCTGCTGGGAGCGGCGGCAGGTGTTCGGCAGATATCCTCGAATACAGCCCGGTGATGCGCTCGAGCAGATCCGGCAGCGCCACCTGAAGCTTGCGCAGATATTTGGGCTGCAAGGGGTCGTCCGGCGTGGCGGCGTCGTTGGCCGCCAGGCTCGCCGTGCTCGCCTTGTCCTGGGGCAGACAGACCGCCGGCACCTGGAACTCAATGCGGGCCCATCCCAGGAGCAGCAGGCTCACGACGATGAGCTCGAGCGCCTTGCCGTGCCAGACGTGGTCGTTGATAGACCTCGCCACCGTCGCGCCCTCGGAGAGCTCCTTCAGCGCATCGCTCCAGCGGCCGGCCTGCAGGTACAGAGAACCGAGGATGACGAGGACCCTGCCGCGGCCCTTGTTGCGCCACCGCTCGTTCATGCCGCCCGGCCCGAAGCCCTGGACGGAGACCCGGTCCTGGCTCTGCGCGCGGCTGTGCTCGTCGGTCCCCGCGCGCGTGACCGACTTCGGCTCTGGTGTCGAGGGGTCGCTGAAGCCGCCACCGGATATCTCGTCAAACGTCGTGGGAGGGTTCGAGAGGCCGCTCCGTGCGGGTGTCGAGGGGCGGTCGGGCGTGGCGCTGCTGGATGGTAATGATGACGACGTCTTCGAGGAGACGGGCGGCATGGACATGCGCGCGAGATTTCGATCGGGAAGGCCGCTTGTCGAGTTGGATCGGGAGCTCGTCGGCATGACGTGCTGCGAGGCGCGCTCGAGAGCGTGCGTGACCGCCTCGTTCACCCACCCCCACGACGTGCCGTTTTGCATGTCGTTCCGCGGAGGAAGCTGCCGGGGGACTCGATGATGGTCATGGCCTCGAACGACTTGGCGAGCGTTGTCATCTCGTCGAGGAGGAGAGAGGATATGTCACACATGACAGTTTTCAGTGTTGTCCTTTTGCATGCCTCTATCGGCGGAATCGTGATGATGCCCTCGGGAATGGGCATGGAGCTGTCGGCGGGAGCGACAAAGTCGAAAATCAGGACGTGGTGGACGAGCGCCTTGGCGAAGCCGTCTCGGAGATCTTCCAGCTCCTGGTACAACGCACGAACGTTCTGCTCCGTCGTCGTCGGCGCTATTGGCGAGTGGCGCTTGCTGAAGACGCCGCGGTTCAGCTCTGCACCGTCGGCTATGGCGACGATGGCGAGTGGCTCTCGATAGAGGTCAAAAGGCGACAGCGCAAGGTGCGAGGGTGGCGGCACATGGGTGCTGAGATCATAGAACATGGCCCCATCGGGGAAGGCCAGCGGCGAGAACATGTCTGGCAGGAGAGAAAGAACCAAAAGGTCAGCATATGCTCTTCAGAGAGGTCTCGCACAAGAGGGGAGGGAGCGCACTCCTATTCGGCCGCCCATCAGGGGTGACATCGCGCAGGTGGACGACGTGTTCCTCGCGCAGCCTCTCGAGGAAGCCGGCGAACCTCTCGCTCTTGATGGGCCCAACAGGCAGCGCCAGTGCCTTGACCCTCGCGGGCGCAATCGGCAGCAGAGAATCCAGGCTCATTCTAGCAATCGTATTCGCAAAGCAGCATCGTTCATCGGGCACACGTCATGGATTGGAGCTGGCCCGGGACCATATCGCGGACGTCGAGTCGGTGTGAAGGCTGCAGCTGCTTGGGGGGGGTGGGTTGTGGTCAGTTGGGAGGTGGTTGGTGATGGCTGCTGGGGGATGTGCCGAAGTTTCGCTTCACAACCAGCTCGGCGATCGTGATTTGGGTTTGCCGACGCGCAGACCTGTGGTAGGGCTCTCGTAGTTTAGGTCGATATCGAGGGTCGAGATGGGATCGAGGTCGACACACCGAGAGTCGAGTCGAGGCGGCGGTCTGTTCGTTGTAGTGGGAATCCCAGCAATTGGCCTGTGGGAAACCTCGATGGGAGACATCCGCCCCAGGACGGCCCAGTGGGAGGCTGGAGCGCTCGAGCCACTGGAACCCGCTGGGCTTCAGGGGTAACAGCGGGAACACGTCTTGTCGATGGCGACCGGGCTGGAGCGCGCCGCCACAGCTGCCACGCCCATGATTGGCCACAGTGAGAGCTAGCTATGGACAGCTACGAGCCACATCTCAGCCTCGCGACCACCCACCTCAGACCCCTGGCCCCGTGGCATAGCATAGCCCCGTGGCATGGCCCCAGCTTCAGACAACGTGTACTTGTACCCTAAGCCCGCCGTGGCAGCTACGTCAGTCTCCAACAGAACGTGAGAGCCTCACCCCTCGCGATCACACTCTCGAGAACGCAAGCGCACGCACCTGTGGCTTGCTCGAGTCAACCAACACCGCAAGCATGGGCCGACAACAACCACACATGGCCGTGGTCCTGGCCTTTTTTTTCCTTCAATGCCTCGGCATCCACCAGGTCGTGGCTGCCGATGATACACCTGGCAATGGACCGGCATCCATTCTCACCAGCGAGATTGGGCGCCTCAACAACGAGAGTCTCTTCTGGGGTCCCTACAAGCCCAACCTCTACTTTGGTGTCCGACCCAGGACCGCCAACCCCCTCTGGACTGGATTGATGTGGGCCAAGGTCGACAGCTTCCAAGATGTCCAGACTGGTACGCGCTAGATGAGCCCAACCGACTCGTCTTGCTCTTGGTGGTCATGGACAAGCTGCTAACAAGAACTAGGCTTCCGGTACACGTGTGAGCAGCACGAGATCAACGGCTACGGCTGGGATGAGTATGATGCGCGCAAAGGCGGTGTGCAGTCCATTCATGATGAGGCGAATCACATTGACATCACCACCTCCTTTGTCAAGGTCCCCGGCGGTGCCCATGGAGGCAGCTGGGCGGCTCGCATCAAGGGTGTCCCTCGCGACGGCGCCCCTGCGAACCTCAAGACCATGGTCCACTACTACATTGCCCAGGACGGCCAGGGCGCAGAGCTGACCATCGACACCGACGGCGACAGCACGGGTTTCGACCAGGACATCACCTTCAAGGGCACGTCGGCCGACCTCGGCGCCTACCAGCTCGTCGTCACCAACGGCGAGGGCGACCGCCCGGCCGGCGAACACCTGCTGTCGGACACCAGGCGCGGCGACAAGACCATCGTCAACTCCCTGCGGGCGCCGGACAACATGGCGTGGCAGGCGAGGGGCATCGTGTACAAGCAGATCCAGGAGTCGGTCAAGGCCGTGCAGGAGGAGCACAATCCCGAGGAGCCGCTTCCTCCGTGGGTGGTGTACCAGCTCCAGAACAACCCCGGAACCGGCAACGTGCAGATTGTGCAGAAGATGTTTGAGGGCGCCTTCGAGTTTGACGTCCTCTTCTCGTCTGCGTCGGCGGGCGCCGAGCTCAAGCCTGCCGACCTCACCCGGGAGATCCAGACCAACTCTGCGTTCTTCAACGGCAGATTCTCCTCCGTCTTTGATCTCAAGGCGCCCTTCACTGCCGACAAGTACAAGACGTTCGGGAAGAGCATGCTCTCGAACCTCATCGGTGGCATTGGTTTCTTCCACGGCGACCACCTCGTTGATAAGTCGTACGCACCCGAATATGACGAAGAGAACGAAGGCTTCTGGGAGGAGGCGGCGGCCGCCCGAGCCCGCAAGCAGCAGGAGCTCGACGGTCCCCACGAGCTCTTCACCAGCGTTCCCTCGCGGTCCTTCTTCCCGCGTGGCTTCCTCTGGGATGAGGGCTTCCACCTCATTCCCATTGCCGACTGGGATATCGACCTCACGCTGGAGATTGTCAAGAGCTGGTTCAACTTGATTGACGAGGACGGATGGATCGCGCGCGAGCAGATCCTCGGGCCCGAAGCCCGCAGCAAGGTCCCCGAAGAGTTCCAGGTCCAGTACCCCCCACTATGCCAACCCGCCCACCCTCTTCCTCATCATTGAGGACTTCATGGAGCGCCTGCGGAAGAACAACGGCACCCGGGCTGCCGAGAAGGAGACCTTGTCCCCCAAGGAGTCTCTCCAGACGGCGCACCTCGACAATGTCGAGCTCGGCGAGGAGTACCTCCGCCGAATCTATCCTCTGCTGCGCCGACAATACGACTGGTTCCGCAAGACCCAGCGCGGTGACATCAAGTCCTACGATCGCGACGCTTTTTCGACCAAGGAGGGTTACCGGTGGCGCGGCAGGACCGAGACGCACATTCTCACCAGTGGTCTGGACGACTACCCTCGGCCGCAGCCTCCCCACCCGGGCGAGCTCCATGTCGATCTCATGTCCTGGGTCGGTCTGATGACCAAGTCGCTCATGAACATTGCTGACGCCCTCGGCATGCGGGAGGATGTCGACAAGTACAAGACGACCCTCCACGCCATCGAGCAGAACCTCAACGATCTGCACTGGTCGGAGAAGCACGGCTGCTACTGCGACGCCACGAA